TTACATTCTTTAAATTTTTTAAAAGAAGTAAGTTTGTTATTTATTGAATCCGTTTTTATTTAACTTAAAAATGTATTAATATTCAATTTAATATAAGTTTAAAGATCTCATGCGATTACTTAAAGTATATGGACTAACTCAACACACTACAAAAAATGAGTACATGTTGGTATTTGATAAATTCGGTACTAAAAGATTTTATAAATATGGAAAATGTGCAAATTGCAACCGGCACAACACATCGCCAGCTTGGTGCCAGACGTGTGACCCTCAGAAAATGACACAAAAATGGATAAATGGAGTTAAGGATATCGATGATTTTATTAAAGAATTTCAACTTAAAGCCACGAACTATGAAAATCTAATCGAATGGATTCCTTTTAATAGATTAGATAATGTTCAAAAGATTGGTGATAAATTTTCAGCAACATGGTTAGATGGAAAACGATGTGTGGATGGTGATGGACGGAAAACGGAACACGCACAGTCACGTACTTCATGTAAAGTGGAGCTTAAAATAATGGCTAGTTCACAAAATTCATTAAATATTTTAAAAGAGGTAAGATGATATTATATGATTTGATTATACATAGATAATTCAATTAATAAAGTTATATACTCAATTTCTATATATTAATATATTATAAATTTTTTATAGTTTAAAAATCATCTACAATTAGAAAGAATAAACGTCGTTGGATTAACTCAAAACAAAACCACAAATGAATATATGTTGGTACTTGATGAATTTGGTTCTCATAGACATAAAAATGCGCAAATTGCAACCGATACAACACATCGCCAGCTTGGTGTCAAACATGTGACCCTCAGAAGATAATACAAGAATGGACAAGTGGAAATGAAGATGTCGATAATTGCATTAAAGAATCTCAACTTAAAGCCACAGAATATGAAAATGTGGATCCCTTTTAATCGATTAGATAATATTCAAAAGATTGGTGATAGATATTTAGCAATGTGGTTAGATGGAATACGATATATTGAAAATGGAGATGATGGATATACACAGTCACGTATGTCATCATGTAAAGTGGAGCTTAAAACATCAACTAGACCGTCAAATTTAATGGATATGTTAAAAGAAGTAAGTTAAAATATTTGAACTGTTATATGGATTACCTGTATATTGGTTTATTTTAATTCATATTTAGATTTATAAATATTTAATAAGTTTAGAGATTATGTACAGTTGAATGATAGTAAAGTATATGGATTAACCCATGACACAGTAAAAAATGAGTATAAGTTGGTATTTAATGAGTTTGGTCGAAAGCGAGATTATGGGAAATGTGCAAATTGTAACCGATATAACACATCGCCAGCTTGGTGTCAAACATGTGATCCTCAGAAAACAACACAAGGATGGGCTAGTGGAAATAAAAATGTTGATGATTGCATTAAAGAATTTCAACTTAAAGCCACAAAATATAAAGATGTAATTGAATGGATTCCTTTTACTAGATTAGATAATATTCAAAAGATTGGTGACGAATTTTTAGCAACCTGGTTAGATGGTGAACGATATGTAGGAGACATATATAAATATATACGGTCACGTACATCACCGTGTAAAGTGATGCTTAAAATTTTACATGCCTCGCAAAATTCATTAGATTCTTTAGATAGAGTAAGTTAAAATTAATTTGTTAGTTATATATATTCGTTTTATTAATACATACTTTATCTTTATATTTATAAGTTTAAAGATTTCATGCAATCAAACGACAGTAAACATAAAGTATATGGACTAACTCAAGACACTAACAAATGAGCACCTATTAGTTTTTGATTTTAAAAGAGATGAGGATAATGGAAAGTGTGCAAATTGCAACCGATATAACACATCAAAAGCTTGGTGTCAAACATGTAATTCTCAGAAAACAACACAAGGGTGGACGAGTGGAAATAAGGATGTCGATGATTGTATTAAAAAATTTCAACTTAAAGCTACAAATTACGAGGACGTAGTCGAATGGATTCCTTTTAATAGATTAGATAATATACAAATGATTAGTGATAGATTTTTAGCAACCTGGTTAGATGGAATACGATGCGTCGATGGAGGTCTATATAAATATACACAGTCACGTATACCATCATATACAGTGGAGCTTAAAACATTGACTAGTTCACAAAATTTATTAAATATTTTAAAAGAAGTTTATTAGTTATGCATAGATTATTTAATTGTTAAGCTATACTGTATTTCTGACTTATATAATATGTATATTATATATTTAAGTTTGAAAATCATTTGCAATTAGAAAGTGAAAATATCTTTGGATTAACTCAAAATACAACAACCAATGAATATATGTTAGTATTTGGTTCCAAAAAAAAAGATCAGAATGGAATATGTGCAAATTGCAACCGATACAACACATCGAAAGCTTGGTGTCAGACATGTGATCCTCAAAAAACAGCACAAGGATGGACGAGTGGAAATAAGGACATCGACGATTGCATTAAAGAATTTCAACTTAAAGCTACAAATTATGAAGAAGTAATTGAATGGATTCCTTTTAATAAATTAGAAAATATTCATCAAGAAGTTGTTGATGAATTTTCAGCAGTCTGGTTAGATGGTGCTCGATTAATTCAAGATAAAGATAGAAAAAAGCCAACACAGTCACGTACTCCATCGTATAAAGTAAATCTTAAAATATTACATGAATCTAAAAATTTATTAGACCTTTTAAGCAAAGTAAGTTAAAATTGTTTTATGATTCATTGTGGACAATTTTTTTTAATAATATGTCTATTTGTTTATAAGTTTAAAGACCTCAAACAATCAAAGAATGAACTTAAAGTATACGGACTAACTCAAGACACTTCAAAAAACGAGTATATGTTAGTTTTTGATTTTAAAAGAAATGGCATGCTGTTACTTCATATGGAATATGTGCAAATTGCAATCGATATAATACATCGCCAGTTTGGTGTCAATTATGTGATCCTCAGAAAACAATTCAAGAATGGACAAGTGGAAATAAAGATGTCGATAATTGCATTAAAGAATTTCAATTTAAAGCCACAAAATATGAAAATGTGATCGAGTGGATTCCTTTTAATAGATTAGATAATGTTCAAAAAATTGGTGAAGGAGGATTTGGCTCAGTGTTTTCAGCAACGTGGTTAGATGGTAAAAGAATAATTTCAGGTGACTTCTTTAACTACACACAATCACGTACACCATCAAGTATAGTTGCACTTAAGACATTACCAGGTTCACAAAAGAATTTTTTAAGAGAAGTAAGTTAAAATGGTTTATTATGACCTCATATAGATAAGTTATTAACATTATAAATTTTATTTAATTAACTAGTTTAAAAGTTATACAGAACTTAGATTAGTGGGTAGTAATTTTGAGGTGTATGGATTAACTCAAAATACGACTACTGATGAATATTTTATGGTATTTCAATATGCAAATAAAGGATGTCTTCATAAATTTCTAACATCAAATTTTAGAAAACTTAATTGGAAAAATAAATTAAAGCAACTTGTTGATATATCGAAAAATTTAAAGAAAGTTCACAAAGCAGGATATGTTCATGGAGATTTTCATAGCGGTAATATATTGCAAAATCAATATATTAATGGAGATCTAATCTCTCATATAGCAGATCTAGGACTATCTAGAAAGAAAGATGAATTAGATTTAGAAGATAGTGTTTACGGCGTTTTACCTTATGTTGCCCCTGAAGTGTTAAATAAACGACCATATACAATAGCAGCAGATATTTATAGTTTTTAGTATTATTATGGCAGAAATATCTACAGGAAAACCACCTCATTACGATATTGAGTATGATGAAGCGTTGGCTATTGAAATATGTAAAGGATTACGTCCTGAGCTTGCTAAAGACACCCCTGAATGCTATATTAAATTAGCAAATCAATGTATGGATGCTAATCCTTCAAATAGACCAACTGCATCTTATATATACGATGAATTATCAAAATGGTATAATATAGTAGTTTGTGGTACGGCAAAAGATAAAAGCGAATTAAAAAGATTAAAGGCATTCCAATCCGCAGATGCAATTATTCCAACATTATCAACCGAATTGCCAATTTGTCTTAAAGATAAACTTACAAGTAAATTGCTTAACTTCAAAAATCTTTCTGAACCAATAAACTCATCATTTATTTCACCCGTAAAATCGTTAAACATTTGTGGTAAGTGCTTATAGTAATATGTTCAATTTTAATCGGTAAAATTTTTTACATTTTTATTTTTTTAGATTCTACTGCGATTGATTTTTCAATTTCTGATAACAATTATAACGATATTTCACGTAAGTATTTAATAAATTAAATTTACTATTGTAATGTATAAAAATGCTTATTAATCTATGAATATTTTTTATTTCTATAGCTAATGATGAAATATCATGAACATTTATATTTCATTCAAATTGTTTATCTGATAAATATATTGAAAAAATCAAGCGTATCTAACAATTTTAAACTACTAAAATTTATTTGCATTTTATAAAAGTCAATAAATTACAAATAAATTTTGGACCCATACTATAATCATATAAATTGTGAATTTGCTTAAAAAAGGACTAATTTATCGTGGTTTAAATCTCACTGAAAAAAAAAAGACGTTTCCAAAAATTCAATACTAATTTTCATATATAATATCTGGTATATTTGACATTGTAATTTGTTGATCAAGCAATGAAAATTTCCTCAAATTTTGAACAAAGACATCTTATTTGTGTCTAATTGCCGTATTCTATGGTTTATAGAAAGTTCTTCACTAAAAAAATAATTTGTAATAATCGTTTAGATCAGAAAACCTAGATCTGACATGCTTCTTTTTATATTTAATGGGTAAAACCTGCTCTTTACAAAATAAAACTTCTGCAAAAATTTATAACTATTTAATTATCTCAAGCAACTCTCTCAATGTGATAAGCTAGTAATCAAGATGTTGCTCAAATTAATTGTAATTAATTGAGTGGTTAATTTGACTAACCAAAGAATGACTTGTTAAAAAACAGTGCAAATGCAGATTTTAGATTTTAGCCAATCAGAGCAATTCTATGAAAAAAAATGGTCTGCAACTCAAAAATTTATTCATTAGTTTATTCAATTTCCGACTAATTAATCAATCGTAATGATTGATCAATATTGTTGCAATTGTGGGAGAGACTTGGCTAATATAAGAACAAATTAGCTCAGGGTTACAAGCATAGGTTATGCGAAATGGATGTTCATTAGGGGATTCGGAATTAATAATAGCGGGTTATTAAGAAATATGTTTATTTATTTAATTATTTAGTTGGAGCAAAAAGAATTCAATATTGATTGATTCATTTATTATAAGTGTTACTATCGATGGGAAACAGTGAATATGCCGGTTTAGGACAAAATAGTAAATGATATAAGTCAGGGATATACGTCTATGAAGGGATATCGAGCAAGAATATAATTAAAGGTGTTTTGGAGTAAATGATGCGTGATAAGAATAAGAGAATTTTAAGGATTGGGTTATTCTATATTTACCGATTATGACAATGTAATATCTTTCGAAGTCTTAAATAAGTCCAATTATATATCAATTCAAAAATGCAAGATAAAATAACAATAAGCATTAACTTAATGCTAACAAGAAGTGTGCATGAGAATTCGTTCATGCAAGATAATTACAAGTTGTCTTTGGCTTTGAAATACCTACTAACTTATAAATGTTTTTAGTTTTACTTAAACAGATTGAAGCCTGAAGAACTTTATTGAAGTAAAAAGCGGCTCTTTAAGTACATGTTTGTCTGTATATAATTAATTACAATACTTCATTAATAGATAATTTCCTTTCCTCTACAACACAGCTTACAAAGACCTTTTCAAATTTAAACACCAATAAAGATTCTTTTACTTTTCCCTATACTAATTTAAGCGTTTCACCGAAATGTTTAAGGTGTTTTACCCCAATATTTGTTTATTCTAAGTCCTTTGTAAACTTTTGAAGAATTAGCAGACTTTTTATAACAAGTAAATGCTTTTTGTGCATTCTTTAAACACTTACATATTGATGATTCCTTGTCTGATTTTGGAATCTATATCTGGTGGCAGTGAAATAAATCAAAGTATATGGAAGAGTAGTGAATTGTCTCTTACTCAAAAGACAATACTATTTATGTAGTTGTTATTATTCAAGAAAGATGTTATACTGAGTGATAAATTATAATAAAAATTATAATAACATATATAAATTTACTATAAACTTTAAGCTAAAGATTCTTTTAAACCTATATATTAACTTATTTTCAATTTTGAACTTAAATATATTGAAAATAGTAGAATAAAATCACTTAGAACAACTTTTTAAAAATTTGCAAATTTTGAATATTTTGCTAATAAAATTTTGAAAAAAAAGATGTATACTAATTTTAAATCTGTAATTATATGTAAAATATTATGCTGAACAAGTTTACTTAAAAAATAAAAATAGGTTGATATAATAAAAAAAAGAATATACATAGATAAGCTAAAAATTTTAATATTTTTATATAGAAAACTTTTTTTTTTACTAAGACAATCCATTTTTGCTTTCTAAATAAACTTGTTTGGTACAAATTTTACATATATATATTTGCTAAAATGCACTTTTTTAGACTTTTTATTATGTAAAAAATTGGTTTAAAGTTTAAAAAAATTTTTTTTTTTAAAAAAATTTTCTAACATATACTCTAAATATATTTATATTATTTCTACTTATAGCTATTACTATTTTATATTAGATAAAAAGTTACAGTTATCTACTTTGTTTTATCATTTACATATATATACTTAAAGATGTATTTCTGATAAATTAGTTATAATAAGATTAACAAAAAAAACTCTTTCTGTTAATTACTCGTACAAAAATTTTTTCTAAAACCTAACTTAACAAAATCTTATTTTTGCAATAATTTATTAATATAACCAAATTTTTTATTCTAACAAAACTTTTTCTACATATAAAATTACATATAATATCTAAATTTTAAAAAGATGACTCTAAAACTCTTTAAATAACAGCCTTCTGGATCATATATGTCTTTTTTGCTATTTATGCAAAATCTGATTCTAAACCTCTTTTCAAAATATAATACAAGTTATTCTACATATTTTTCTCTTAAAAACAAGCTATAATAGACCTCTGTAGCTTCAATATTGACCGAGTTATAAGTAAAATAATTCTTAACTCTATTTACTTTTTTTTTCTCTTTTACTTTGAAAATTTTTCTTTTTCCAAACAACTAAAGATGTTTTTTGTATAACTATGGCTATTTCAGCTGTGCCACCCAGGGTTGTCATTGGACATGCTTGGACAATTTTGGACAAAAAAATAAATTAAAATTACTCTAAATTTTATTAAGAT